CGGGAAGCGGCGACGGGGCGGCGGCGGCGGCGCCATGGAGCCGCGGGAGGTGAAGGACCGAATCCTGGAGAACATCTCGCTGTCGGTGAAGAAGGTAAGCGGCCTCCTTCGGCCCTGGCCTCTCCCCGGTCCCTGTCGCTCATCCCCCGGGTCTGGGATCCCCGGCCACCGACCTCCCGGCGACCCCAAGCTCTGCAGGGGAAGCAGGCGGCTCCCGTGAGCACCGCGGCCTCTGAGCTATTTTTAAAAAACAAAGTTGAGGTCAGCGTTCTCGGAGCTCCCCGGTGCCCGACCCGGCCTTGCCGTACCGTCCCGAGAGGGGCCGGTGACACCTCGGGAAGGCTCCGGGGACGACCCGATACAGAGAGCATCCCTGAAGAATCCACTGCATCCACCCTTACTCAAGGCAAAGGCCGAGGACCAGCACTTGCCTGGCGTTCTGGGGAGTCCCCAAGTCATCGTACTCCAGGATGACAGTTTAGAAAAAGCTCGTTGCAGAGTTCTGATTGAGGACTCGAAGTGCCTAGGATTGTATTTTTGGATAGTGAGTCGTGGGACAGAGTGACATTAAGATGCTTTGCGTCGGGACTTGCTAGTGTTGGTCATCGCCCCAGTTCCTGGTAGGAGTGACTACCTGTCAAGGGCATGTCCATGGGTGAGGAGACAGGCCGGTCTCAAAAGTTCGGGTGTGGTGGTGCCTGTCTGTCATCCCAGCGCTCAGGAGGCCAAAGCAGAAACCTGCGATCTAGGCTAGCCTGGACCACATAGTGAGACCCTGTCTCAAAAACAAAAAGTAATAGGTAGGACCCACAAACCAAAAAGGATCCCAAGCTGGGTGGTATTCATAGTCACCGAAAACCTACATGGACAATCAGAAGAGATTTATTTCTATTTAGTTTTTATTATTTGAACTCCTGCCTCGCCTGACTCGAAAATATGTTGCTAGCTTTCCTTTTCTGATCTTTTTTTTAAAATTATATTTTATTTACTCTGTGTATGTAAACGTGTGTTAACTCCATATATGTGGGTACCCACATGCCCAGGTGGGAGAGTGGAGGTCAGAGGACAACTTTTGAGAATTGGTTCTCTCCTGTCATGTGAGTTCCAGGCATCAAACTCAGGTTGTCAGTCTTGGTAGCAAGTGCTCTACCCACTGAGCCATCTCTCTGGCCCTCTTCTTGCTTTTCTTTCTTTCTTTTTTTTTTAAATAGTCTCACTTTGTAGACCCAGCTGGCTTCGAACACTACCTCTCAAGTTCTAGCATTAAAGGCGCACCCCACTATGCCTGGCCTCCTTTAAGATTCCTTCTGCTTTTAGCTGGACATCGTGGCACATGACTTTGTCCAGCACTTGGGAGGCAGGGGCAGAGGCAGGCTGCTTTCTATAAGTTTGAGGCTAGCCTGGTTTACATAGTTGGTTCCAGGACAGCTGCCAGAGCCATGTCGTGAGGCTATAGCTTGAAAATAAATGAAAAGATTTCTGCTTCTGATAAGACTGCTTAGTTGGAAGGCAGCTGGAGCTATGGGTGATAGTCTATCTCAAAACAAGGAAAGCGAGTCCAGCTCCAGCAGTGGACACGGAGGCCTCTGCAGGCTAAGTCTGTCTCAGCTATGCTCTGGGGGCAGCCATGGCAGGCCTGATAAGGAGGTGGAGCCGGTAAAAGTGCTCGCAAGCCTGAGTTGGTGTGCAAGCCGGATGGCCTGGGTTCAATCCCCAGAACGCGCGGTGGAAAAAGAGAATTAAATTAAAAACAACAACAACAAAAAGTTGGAGCTGGGTGGTGGTGGCACACACCTTTAATCCCAGCACGCCTGAGGCAGAGGCAGACTGATCTCTGTTAGTTCAAGGTCAGCTTGGGCTACTAGAGCTTGTTCCAGGACAGGCTCCAAAGAAACCCTGTCTCAAAAAAAAAAAAAAAAAAGTTGGTAGAGAGATAGCCTGGTGGCTAAGGGCACTGGCAGCTTTTCCAGAGGACCTAAGTTGGGATTCCACTGCCCACACTGGGTGGCTCACCACTGCACTGCCGCTTGTAACTCCAGTTCGACGTGACCCAAGCCTGTTCTGTCTTCTCAGACACCTGTACTGTGTGAACGTATCCACACACAGAGACGCACATTCATAAAAATAATGAAAATAAACCTTTTAAGCCACAGCCGTGACCTCCAAAGACTCTGTTGGTTGAGAGAGGGATCCTTAACTAAAAGCCTTGACAAACTGGTAGAATTCTCAGAGAGAAAGAAGTAGATATTCAGGCTCGAAGAAACATCCCCCACAGAAGTGGGAGCCCCCTGGGTGATCTTCTGAGGACATTGGGGAGACAGACTAATCTGGATGTGCACCCTGGAAAAGCCACAAGCCTGGCACATGGGCCAGAGGTGCACAGACCCAGGCCCGGCTTTGGATTCTGGATTTATCACCCGGCATAATGACGCTAGCAGACCATGGAAGCTCTGTTGACATCACCAGTCAGGTTTTGCTCAAGCTGTTATAATAGGAATTCAGTTCCATGGGATGACATACCTGCGATGCTCAATGCAATGTCTGCCACACACTTAGGCCGAAATACTGTCTCGGCAGTCCCTGCGACCTGCGGCATTTCCTTGTCTTTTCTCCCTGTGGTGGGGCTGCACCCCAGGGCCTTGTGCATGTCCTGTGAACTCTCCACCATGACCTACAAACTCAGCCCTTTTTAATTTCGTTATTTTATTTTACCTTTTTTTTTTTTTTTTTTAGATAGTCCGGGCTGACAAAAATGGCCTCTGAGGGCTTTTGATCTCCCCCTCCCCCTCCCACGTGCTGGAATTACAGGTGGGCATCACCACGAAGGCGTGGGTTGCTGAGAATTGAGCCCAGGGCCTCTGGATACTGGGCAGGTGCTCCACCCACTGCGCTACATCCTGAGTGTTCCTTTTTTACCTCGCTGAGACAGGGTCTAACTACTTTGCCCAGGCTGCTCTTGAACTTATGTCCTCTTGCCTTTGGTTCCAAAATAGCTGTAATTATAGACCTGGGGCACCATGACCTGCTTCCTGTAAACTTCTTAAAGAATCTTCTTAAAGATATTTTCAAGCTGCATAACTTCACTGAAATTACCCAAGCCTTTCCTTTTTTGCCCCAGAGCAACCAACTGATGGGTGAGACTGTATTCCAGCAAACCTTTATAAAAATAGGTAGGCTAAATTTTGGCCCCCAAGCTGTCGTTTATATGCGGACACGTGGGTCTACCCTAAAAAGTCCCTGTCAAGGTGGGCTGGGGAGCATTTTCAGAAGAGTGTGACCAGGCCTGTAGTGGCCCATGTGTATTGCAGCAGCGTCTGTATGTTATAGAAGGTTTGAGGGGTGAGTGTGGGCACCGTGAACCATGTGGTGATGAAACATATTCGGGTTCGTGAGTACCTTCCCGTGATCCTCATTGTTCTAGGCCAGTAGTTCTCAATCTGTGGGTTGCACCCCCCACAGAGGTCGCATATCAGATATTTACATATGATTAGTAGTAGCAATAGCAAAATGATGGTGGTTATGAAGTAGCAACAAAAATAATTTTGTGGTTGGGGGTCACCACAACATGAGGAACTGTATTAAAGGGTCTCAGTGTTAGGAAGGGTGAGGACCACTGGTCTAAGCCCTAGGAAGGTCACATGGGAAAAGGTCTCCATCCTGGAAACAACCTTATAGTAGATGATGAGGAATTAGCCGGGCTGGGGTGGCGCAGGCCTTTGATCCCAACACTTGGGCCGCAGAGGTAGGCGGATCTTTGTGAGTTCGAGGCCAGCCTAGTCTGCAGAGCTAGTTCCAGGACAGGATCCAAAGCTACGGAGAAACACTGTGTCGAAAAGCCAAAAAATAAATAAATAAAATAAAAAAAGAAGATGAGGCCATTTTAGTCCAGTCTTACCGAAGACTGCTTCAGGTTCTAGTCAGTGCTGGACAGGCCTAAGGTGGAGTGTGATGAAGACTCGGGAGAGGCTAGCTTCAGCCTGGATCACTTCTGAAGAAGAAAAGTAAGAAGTATTCTGAGAAAACAGGCCTTTTCTTGAGTGAGGAAGAGAGACAGGGCGTCACGCTGTAGCCAGATCAAACTCCCTGTAGCCCAGGAGATCACCATGGCATTGCAGGCCTGTGACAATATGCTAAGCAACACATTCCAAAAACATACACACGCACACCACACAAGCATGCATCACACATGCATGCCCCCCCACACCACACAAACTTGCATCTCATGTGCATGCACCACACATACCACACAATGCACCATACACATATGTACCGCACATACATGTACCATACATGCCACATACATGCACCACACCACACATACACACACCTGAAAATATGGACAGGGGGCGTAGCTCAGTGGTAGGCTGCTTGCCTTAGAGTGGATCCCCAGCACTATGTGGGGGTACACACCTGTAATCCCAGCACTAGGAGGTAAAAGCAGGAGGATCCAAAATTCAGGATCATCCTCTGCTACATAGAGAGTTCTAAGGCAGCCTAGGCTATACCAGACCCTGTCTCAAAAACAAACAACCCCCCCAAAAAGCCAAGACAACCCCCCCAAATTTAAACAATAAAAATACACAAGTACTCAGGAGCGGGAAGGCTAGGACAGGAGGATTGCCATGAAGTTAAGGCTAGCCTAGACCCTGCCTTCAAAATTATTATTCTGATTATTTTTAATAATAAAGCCACAGGTACTTCAAGTATACAATGAAAAGTAGCTGTCCTGTGTCTCCCTCTTTTTAAACATTAGGCAAATGAATTCATGAGACATTGATTGTAGCACAGCGGCTGCATGTCCAGCCTGCTTCTTCACCTGCTTGGTTTGAGGCAGACTCCTAGGGGGTAGACTTTTCCCTAATTTTCTTTTATTTTTTGAGACAGGTCTCTACTGTCTCCTGGGCTGTCCTGGAACTCGCTTTGTAGACCAGGCTGGCCTTGAACTCAGAGATCCGCCTGCTGGGTTTAAAGGCACATGCTCCCACATCTGGCCTTTCCCCACTTTTTAACTCCTTCTGATAGCTTTGCCCTGCTAGTGCACTGAAAATTAGTGAAAGTCCTGGCCCACTGCTTGAAATCAATAGTTTTGTTCTG